GCATAAGAATTTAATTTTTAAAAGGTCCCAGTCATCTAGCTTCTCTTCTACCTCCTGTGCATTCTGGGTTATGCTTGATAGTCTATTTATGCCATAAATTAGGGCTCCCAGATTTGCCCCTAGTTTATCTTTGATGAAGTTTATAGTTTTGGGTTTTACATTTAAGTCTTTGATCCAGCTTGAGTTTGCTTTTGTGTATGGGGTGATGTATGGGTCTTGTTTCATTTTTCTACAGGTGGATATCCAGTTTTGCCAGCACCATTTGTTAAAGAAGGTGTCTTTTCCCCATTTAATGGGTTTTGGACCTTTGTCAAAGATCAATTGTGCATAGATGGATGGGTCTATATCTGGTCTTTCTATTCTGTTCCATTGGTCTATCTATCACTGTACCAATACCATGCTGTTTTGAGTACTGTGGCTGTATAGTAGTTCTTAAGATCTGGGAGTGTGAGACCTCCCACTTTGTTTTTCTTCTTGAGAAGTGCTCTGCTTATGCAAGGTCTCTTTCCTTTCCATATGAAATTAGTAGTTTTTCCATGTCCTTAAAAAAATTTGTTGAAATCTGGATCGGGATTGCATTAAATGTATAGATTGCTTTAGGTAGTATTGACATTTTCACAATATTTAGTCTACCTATCCATGCACAAGGTAGGTTCTTCCATTTATGTAGTGCCCTTGTTGTCTCTTGTAGCAGTGTTTTACAGTTTTCTTTGTATAGGTCTTTTGTGTCTCTGGTGAGGTTTATTCCTAGATATTTTATCTTTTTAGTAGCTATAGTAAATGGTATTTTTTCCCTTATTTCTTTTTCAGAGGACTCTTTGTTGGTGTAGAAGAATCCAACTGATTTTTGTATGTTGATCTTGTATCCTACCACTTTGCTGAACCTCTCTATTAGTTCCAGTAGTTTTTTATTGAGTCCCTTGAGTTTTCTATGTACAGGATCATATCATCCGCAAATAGAGATAGTTTTATTTCCTCTTTGCTAATTTGTATGCTTTTTATTTCTCTTTCTTGCCTTATTGCCCTGGCCAGTACTTCCAATACAATGTTAAATAAAAGTGGTGATAGAGTGCATCCCTGTCTGGTTCCTGTTGGTAAGGGGAATGCATTGAGTCTTTTTCCATTAATAATGATGTTGGCCATTGGCTGTGCATATATACCCTTTATTATGTTGAGGAATTTCCCTTCTATCCATATTTTGCTGAGAGTTCTGAACAGGAATTGATGTTAGATTTTATCAAATGTCTTTTCTGCATCAATTGATATAATCATATGGTTTTTTTCTTTTGTTTTGTTTTTGTGGTGGATTATGTTGATTGATTTTCTGATGTTGAACCACCCTTGTAAACCTGGTATGAATCCCACTTGTTCCGGGTGTGTTAATTTATTGATAGTTGTTGGATTCTGTTGGCTAGGATTTTTTTAAAGATTTTTGCATCTATGTTCATGAAGGATATTGGTCTGTAGTTTTCCTTTCTAGTGGTGTCTTTCCCTAGTTTGGGTATTAGTGTTATGCTTGCTTCATAAAATGAGTTTGGGAGTATCCCATCTTTTCTATGTTCTGGAATAGCTTGAGTAGCATAGGTGTCAACTCTTCTCTGAGTGTTTGATAGAATTCTCCAATGAAGCCATCAGGGCCAGGGATTTTCTTTGTGGGGAGTTTTTTTATGACCTGTTCAATTACTTCTTTTGTTATAGGTCTGTTCAACTTTTCTTTCTCTGAGTGGGATAGTTTAGGTAGGTCTTGTGATTCTAGAAACTTGTCCATCTCTTCTAGGTTCTCAAATCTATTGGAGTACAGTTTTTCATAATATTCTGTCAGTCCATCATCGTTTTTGGACACATCACATTGCTTTGTCTTTATTGGGCAGGGAGTGTAGTGATGGGAGCAGGAGCATGTGTATTAGAGGTCCTAGGTGTGATGTTTATAGGGGAGGTGTTCTATTGATTTATTGATTAGCTGTGTACACATCTGGATTAAATGCTTTCCACCTGGAAGCCCTCATGATAACCAGGAACTTGGATGGTAGGTATAAAAAGCAAATGTAGACTGTACTGGACCAGTACAGACGGCAACCATGGCAAAGCTTATTCTCCTCACAGGTGAGTTTATAATCAGAGACAGAGCCTCACTCTCTCTATTTCTTTTTCTCTCTGGATCTGACACTATGAAGCAGTGTCCACACTATACCTCCATACCTTTCTATTCTCTTTCATTGTTGTGTAGGATTTTTATTGTAACCTAAGAAATCAGTAGAGAGATACTCAGGTTTGTCATGCATGAATTCATTTAGTTTATTGCAAGGTAGTCATTGTAAGGCACACAACATTCTTTTTAGAGCTGGAGAATCAGAATTAACAATTCCAATCACAATGTTGTTCAATGGTTAGCATCCAGATCTTTAGATTTCAGGCATTTACCTTTCATGAGTGGTCTTGGGAGGAAGGCTTGACCACGGCTCAAACTTGGCAGCAGTCTCTTATAGCTAGGGTCCAAGGTCAGCAGCAGTGGGCACTCTCAGCCTATGCCTCTTCTGGTAGGGCCTCTTCTTGGAGAGTGTCAGAGTCAAAAGGGTGATACTTTGTCTCTGCCTTCTTTCAGTGAGTGAGCAGAAATTCAGGATGTATATGTGAGTTTTGTATGTTGGCTTCATCCAATAAGGGCCAGTATGACATTAAAGACTAGTATGTTACATTTTCTCTCCAGGGTTAGAGATTAGCCAAATGTCCTATCTTTTTTTCAAAGTGAGAGATCTGGGAGGCTGTTTAGATTTATGTCTCAAGGTTAGTTCACAAAGATTAACTATGTTATGTTTTCTTTTATTATAGCAAACTGGGTCAAAGTCAATGTGAAGTTTGTTTACATTCTTCAAGTACTTCTATATCTAAGCTAAGAAATTTTCTAAATAACTTTCTAATGACTTTTAATTTTTATTGTTAGTTGCCATTGAGTTGGTGTTTGATTCATAGTGACCCTATGTGACAAAATAGAACTGCCCCTTTCGGGTTTTCTAGGCTATAATCTTGACAGAAGCAGATCACCAGGTCTTTCTCCCACAGAAACACTGGGTAGGTTCAAACCTCTAACCTTTTGATTAGCAGCCAAGCACTTAATTGTTGTGCTACCAGGCTCCTTTTCTGATTACTTACAGGTTTTTAATAACTTATACTTAATGTTAGAAAACCTCAAAAAGGAAGACTTATTTCTAAGTTGTTAATATGAGTATTTAATAAGATATATTTAGAAA